AAAATTTATTGTTAGAAGTCGGCTAGAATTGAATTACACATGTGAAAATTTAAAACTGTATGGCCAATAGATGCTGTTTTTATTATATGTTTTCTGGATTCTACAGTTTGGGTTAGAAATATCATTCACTATAAACAAAAAGAATCCTATGGAAAACCAGTCTGGAACAGGATGTTATAATTATGACTCAGCATTTCTTTCTTATTGTTATTCTGCATTTCCAGACTTATTTTTGCAGTTTATATTTAAGGGAGCTTAATGAGATAGATAAACTATTTTTTTTTTACCATATATTTCAGCAAGTTTTAGAGATTCTTATGTCATTATTATCATATGTGACTATTAAAAAAGTCTGCGTATATAATAAGGACATAAGAATTAGTGCAGTGATTTCTAAAATAGATATTTGACTGACTTTACGGGTAAGAAAGTCATTTTCATGGCATGCACTCAACTGAACAACAAAAATTAGGCAAATCCATAGCCAAGGCAATATAATATTTTTTCTATGTCATTTTTATAACTTCTGTAGCTCCAGAATACTTTATATTCAAAATTTAAATAGCTAATTATTAATGAGTATATATCATTCTCATGATGCTCATGTACACTTAAAGTTTATAATTTGATCCTTTTCAGATACCTATATAACCATATATAGTCCTTTATTTATAATAATAATATGTTTTGAGTCATAATTATCTATTCTGCCTGCCATTTCCCCAAATTTGGAGCACAGACATTAGATCTACAGTGTCAAATAGAGATATTATCAAGCCATAGAGAATAATTCTTTAAAATTGATTTATTGTCAGCACTTTCCTGAGAATATCATTTTAGTTTTAGCATCACTGAAAATATTCTTTTTACTCATATCTGGAATAGAAACATATTTCTTACTCCACGTATTTTGGTTGTCTTTGCTAATTTTCTCAATCACTTTAATGGATAGGAACTTATATTTTCTTTATTCTATATTTTGAAAGTGTCTAATTTTTTTCTTAAAATTGAACTTGATGTTATTTTTTATTATAGATAAACCATTAAGAACATTTTATTTGTCCAAAGAGGCTGTGGTAGAGAGGCTCAAAGGGTAGATAAATTGAGACAAGTATAGAAACTTCTCTAGCCTACAAATGCTTTTGTTGGGTAACTGAATCTGTTTCAAGATCCTGGTTTTATCTCCATTTAGTTGAAGTAAAGTGAATGTATTTCTTTGATCTCATTTATTATACCTGCTTATATCCTGAAATATTTAAGATCTCCAATCAAGCCCAAGTAGTTACATAAGCTTACACACAAAAACAAGGGTCTATATTTTGTGCACTGGAGTTGTCTTCTCATTTTATGGCATATATGAGTGACAGCAACAGCTACTTGAGCAGTGTTAGTCATCAATCTTCAATTATTAGAAATAAATTGTTAGTTTTACCACATGAACCTTTGAATCTTTCAATATCAATGAAATGAGAAATTTGAGCTAAGGCATGTTTAAGAGTTTGTTTTAGCTGAAACCCCATATCTCTGATTCTATATTTGAAGTTGTTGAGATTTAAAATTCTCCCATGGAGGCTGTTGATTCAGGGAAATATATCTATAGAATACATAATATTGTTTTACCACAATTTTCCCAAGTATTTTTGTTCATAACAGGCTATCAACTCTGGTATCCACCCTCGTCTGCCCCCACCAGAATCCTAGGAGTCATTCCAGATTTCTCTTTTCCTCAGTATAGCAAAGTTGAGTGTTCGTACTGGTTGACTTTTATTTTAGAGGGTGGGGAGGGATTGTGTGTCTTTTGATTGTTTTTAATTTTCTTTTGTCTCGATGGATCCTAAATCTTCCCCTAACTCTTCCCTCTTTTCCCCTTCCTTGTGGATCCCCCAAATGCTCCTTTTCTTTCTTGTTTTCAGAGAACTTTATTGAGATACAATTCACATCCCATATAACTCACCCACTTAAAGGATACAATGAAATGGGTTTTTTTATTCTTGTCGCAGAGTTGTGTGAACATCACCACAATCTAATCTGAGAACATTTTGTCCTTCAATAAGAAACCCCGTTCCTACAGCAGTCATTCGCTCCCATTCCCTCCCACCTCATCCCCCAGTCCTAGGCAATCGCTAATTTACTATCTCTATAATTCTGTCTGTTCTGGACATTTTATGTAAGTGGAATCAATCACTCAAGATATGATCTTTTGGGAATGGCGTTTTTACCCACTTCTTCCTCAGGAAGGGATTACTCTTAATGGCCGCCTCCTCACATCCCTGTGTGCACTCCAAAGTTTCTCTCCTGTGGTCAGGGTTGTCAGGGGCCAATATTTTCATTTTTTCCAGAATTTCTTTTCTTCTCCATGAAGGCTTGTGGTGGAAGCATGGAAGATAATTTATTGGTATCTGTGTCTGTTTTTCATTGTTCATTTTCTAGGTAACTTGAAGTTGGATGTTCTTTGTCTTCTGACTGTGCAGAAGGCATGGGTTTTATATAATTTTATTTGTTCACTTTGTTCTCTATTCTGTTTTGAAAGAAATGTTGAGAAATTTTGATTTTCAATTTTACCATTGCTGTGGGAACCTTGAATTCCTGTAACTTTTTTTTTTGGTTCCAAATATTTGGGGCACTGATAGTGAGACATTAATTTGGAATTTCACTGCATTACTGTTAAGGCTAATTTTAGGTTCTGACTATTTGCTTTTTCCAGGTAGAACCTAACTCAGTGAAATCCTTATCTGAAGAGACTGCATTTTAAGGCCATGAGTCAATATTATTTTTGTGAGACACGTTTTGGAAGAACAATACTGGGTCTAACAGATCTTTCCTAAATCATCTTGTCATTCAGAAGTCATCTTCCTATTATAAGAAATTTATTGTTTAGATGTGATGTAAACAATTTTGATGTAAACATTTATAAAGATAATTGTGAAAGTAGGACATGACAAATATAGTCCTTCTGCAGGAGATAAATGTGGCAATAAAAGTTAGAAAGACACTAAATAGATGCTACAATTAAAGAGCAGTAATTCTTCTTAGGTATCCATTAACATTGGATTGTTTTGTTATTTCTGGATTATAGATTTTCTATATATTGCCATAGATTACAACAATGAACTGGAAAAACACCTTGACAATTATAAATTCTAACTCAAAAATAAAATCAATGAGTCTAAACAAATTTCCTAAAAATTACAAAACATGTTAGAGATAGAGCTGAGTTTGGAATGTTGAATCAGTTAGCTTTGGTTGTATAACAGTTTACCTCAAAACATAGTGGCTTAAAATGATTATTTATTTAGTTCACAATTCTGTAGGTTGGTAATTTGGACCAGTATGAGCTTAATGGGTTTCCTGCTGGTCTTCTCTCATGTGTCACACTCAGTTGTTGGGTTGAATAGCATCTGAACTATCTAGATGATCCCATTTATGTTTGGAGGTTAGCAGGCTCTTGGCCAGGGCAGTAGACGTAACTGGGCCATGTGTCTCTTATCATCCAGGAGGCTAGGTTGGGTTTGTACCCATGCTAACAATTGCAGGACTCCCAAGAGCAGAAGGGGTGGAGCTGAAAGGCCTCTTGAGGCTTAGACTTGTACTTGCCCAGCATCATTTCCATACATCAAAGCAAGTCATGAAGCCAGCCCAGATTCAAGGAGTGAGGAAATAAATTTTACCACTTGATGGGTATTTTTAATCCCCTTCCCTTTTTTTTAACCAATCTCAAATTAGCTAATTAGCTAATTTCCAATCCATGGCTCTCTCAATACAAGATCCTTAGACACTCAATTAGATAGGATAGCTTACTCCTCTACTTAAAAGCAATTAATTTTTGTTAATGAAATTTAGGAGTCTGTATCCAAAAGGCAATACTTGAAATGACTCTTGAAGAATGAATTTTCCGGAAAGAAATTAAAAATCGTATCCAGACATAAGGAAAAATACATGGGAAGGCACAAAGTTTAAGAGAGAATGACAGGAGCTGGGTTAGTCAGCCTGTAGTTAGTTAGCTGAGAAAGTCAGCCTGGATTGGGGGTTAGATCGTGGGGTGGAGAGTGGAGAAATGTGGTGGGTGGTGAGCTAGATGGGTCTTCTAATATCTAGGGTGTCTTTCATTCAAAGCAGGAGCTCCATTACCCAGTTTCATTCGAGAATATGTTTTTAGTTCCCGAAAAGAAGCTTGTAAAGTAAAATTTCCATTTTCGGTAAGGCTTTCTACCCTCCCCCACCCTGCACCAGAACAGGAAATTTGAACAAGCACAAGTCTGTGAATTGAAGGACACTGGTAAATAGCACTGAGTCTATGGAAAGTCAGAGAACAGAAGTTTTATTATCAAAACAAGGGCCTGAAAGCAGCATGAACTAGAATGTGGGGACCAAGAAAGAGCCCAGCAGGCTATATATATCATGTCATTAATGAGTCAGAAATATAAATGACAGTTCAGAATTTCAGGAAACATAACAAATACGTCAGCCCACCATACAGTTCTAGCCCAGCACTTCCTGTCTCAGAATGAGCACAGGACGTGAGGCATCCTGAAACCTGCAGGTGGGCTCATGAGAGCAGACTGAAAAAACGAATTCAGTATGATTACAAAATTATCAATTTTTGTCACATTCACTACTACTGTAATTCAAATGGAAATAATCTTTGGACTGTATTTGCAATCTGATAAAAATTTTATGAGTTAAATAATGACTTTTTTAAAAAAAAAGAGACAATTTTTATTATTTATTTTTTAAAAGTGATAAAATAATGTAAGTAACATGGAATGTTACAACTAAAAATGTTATTTTATATCCTTTTGTTTAAATAAATGAAAACGTAAGAACTTCCATTTATTCCTATCTTCTTAGTACCATCTTCTATTTCCTTAATTTAAAATCTATTTAAGTTAACCATACATTCCAATCCATAGTTTGTTACTATTTGTACTCTACCCTGTGTTTTTAGTTAGACTCCTGTTTCCAAATCAAATTACCTATTTGGTTTTGTTTGTTTATTTCAGAGGATCTTATAATATCCTTCACAGTATCCATGGCGATTGGGCTAGTAATCGGCGGATTTATCTGGGCTCTGTTTGTTTGTTTGTCTCGAAGAAGAGCCAGCGCCCGCATCTCACAGTGGAGTTCAAGTCGGCGATCTCGATCCTCTTATTCCCACGGCCTCAACAGGACTGGCTTTTACCGCCACAGTGGCTGTGAACGTCGAAGCAACCTCAGCCTGGCCAGCCTCACTTTCCAGCGACAAGCTTCCATGGAACAAGGAAATTCCTTTCCCAGAAAATTAAGTTTCAGGGCTTCGACTTTCCATCCATTTCTGCAAAGTCCACCACTTCCCGTGGAGACTGACAGTCAGCTGATGACTCTCCCTTCCTCCAATACCTCTCCCACCATCAACACTGCCCACAGCCTGAGCCGGCCGGACTTCCACTGGTCCAGCAACAGCCTTCGCCTTTCGCCACTGCCGCCGCCTGCCTATGAGTCCATCATAAAGTCGTTCCCAGATTCCTGAGTCGGGTGCTCTCGTTCTCAATTGGTTTCTTTCTTGTCTTTTATTGAAAGGATATCATAAATAGACTAAACAGAATTTTGAGGACATGGCCCAAATGACTAAAGAGTCTCCAAGCTGGAAATACTCATGCAAGTTGGACATTACAATGCAAAACACATTTCCTTCAATCACATTTTTCCTTGTCTCACGAAGAAGTGATGTTTTCCCAAATAGTTATATATTTATGTATTTTGTATTCAATGTAAGGATTCTTAAAGGCGATGATTCTAATCTAGAGTCAGCAGTGACACGACATATATATTTTAGACTACAATAAAAAACTTAAGGTATTTGTAGTTTACAATCCTCATTCACTGGTCAATGTGATTAAAAGAGAAAAAATGAGTGTCACTTAAAAACTTTTTTTCTGTCTTGAAGAATTTTAATTTTACTTTCTTTAGAATGACCGGTAAGTCATTTTACAATCTTGGATTTTTAATGGAATATATGGGCACAAAATGACAGAATATGGAAGCTTCTTAAGTTTCTTGATTCCACTCATTTAGGAGAGAAGTATGAGGATCAAGCAAAGGAAGCTGAACTCCATGGGTGTTATAGGATACTTTAATTTCGACACTTATTTCTAAGAATAGTTACCCACATCATTGAGGTAGAATCTTTGAGTTTAATAACATGATAATTTAACTTGTTTTCACTGTTGTAATTGTGTTGTTAGAACTGCAAATGCAATTTATTTGACCTAAAAACAAATTTTAACACTTTAGCTTATAGTTTTCTTAAGGAATAAATTTTATTTCTTAGATTTAAATCTAGCAACTGGGAAAGCACTTTATCTATGTACCTTCTTTCCCTGTAACTTCACAGACAAATAAGTAAGGGTCAATGGGGACAAAGTCTGTTATCGAAATAGACGTTGCAACCGTGACAAATTTTCCTTCCTGGATTGACTCATTAAGCATTATCTCTCCTTTGTATCTCTATGAATTCCAACCTCGGAATTTGTGAAGAATCTTTGTACAATCATTAAGCCATGCCTCCTGGTCCTTGGTGCAGACTGTTATTTAAGGGGTCCACTTGTACAGATGGCCACCTTCTTAAAGAAAGGTACAACCCCAAAAGAGGTTACCAGACATTCGGTGGCCTGAATGCCTGTGGCTGCCCTTTTTCATTTAAGGACACGAGTTCCTTGGATAAATACTCAACAGGTCTGTGGCTTGTTTCTGATATAGTGAATATCTAGCTAATGTTTCCATTTGTTTGTTTCTCTGAACATCGGGATTTTCATTAAAGAAAAATGTACTCTCATTTTGGTTTCTGCAATGGGGTGGTTTCTGCTCATAGTGTCTGAATATGGCTCCAGAATGTAATAATTTTTATATAAGAGATTTAGTAGAGCCTTTTTTTAGTTATTTTGATTTAGCTTATTTTTTTTACCGTTCCTCAAGGATAATTATTCTAATTATTCTTAATGATATCTGTAATAGATGCTCTTTAATACTGTATGAAAGAAAGAAAGAAAGAAAGAAAGAAAGAAGAAAGAAAGAAGAAAGAAAAGAGAAAAGAAGGAAGAAAAGAAGCGAAGAAGGAAGGCAGAAGGAAAGAGGAGGAAAAAAGCTCATAGGGTCATCAATTTGTTGTAAGCTGTTTTTTTTTTTTAACAAATTTAGCAATCTTCATATAGCCACATAAGATTCCAAGAGATCATTAACTTAGTAACAAGGTTATCTTTTGCTTGTAAGTCATCCTTAATGTTTAACATGAGAAGGAAGCAAAATTTATGGTTTTTATCTAGCTTATGTTTTTGTCTCCTCCCTCCCCAAGTTATGGAACAATCAAAATGAGTATCTTGTAAATATTGTGCAATCTATGAAATGTGAAATCAATGCAAAAACTGGAGACTTTTTGTTGTATTTTTTATGTCAACTGTGTAATTGATTATGAAATAAAATTAAACTGATATCAATTTTGAATCACAGTTTAATTTCTCCTATTTACTTTGATATTTTGAACCAATCTATTCCTGAGACACAAACATTATTTTATATAAAAGTGCATAAAAAAAGGTGGTGTCATAAATAAATGGAACAGGATTTTCAGGAAATTCATGCAGATAGAAAATAAGTTATGTTTTAAAAAAACATTAATTTAGATTCTTATCTCACTAGATAAACAAATAATACTTGGACTATTTAATTTTTTTGAGAATAAACTTTATTGATATAATTGACATATAAAATTATATTAGTTTCAGGTATAAAACATAATTTGATATATGTATATATTGCAAAATGATCAGATCTAGTTAGTATCCAACAACAAACATACTTACAAATTTTTTTTCTTATGATGAGAACTGTTAAGATTTATTCTCTTGGCAACTCTCCAATGTGCAAATACTGTTGTTAACTATAGTCACCATACTATACGTTATATGTCCAGGGCTCACTTATTTTATGACTGGAAGTGTGTGCCTTTTGACTACCTTCACTCATTTTGCCTTCTTTTATCTATGAGTTCAAAGAAACATTTTAAATGAAGACAATATTAAAACTTGAGAAATTTTAAATGTTTAGCAAATGTTTCGAGTCAAAGGATGGAAAAAATTACAAAGGCAACTATCAATAGCTTTGATTATTTAAAAAATTCTGAAATTATGTTCATCAAAAGATAAACTTATCCAAAATTTAGAAATGAGCAGAAAAAAAGTAGAAAGAAGTAGAGGAAGAGGAGGAGGAGGAGGAGGAGGAAAAGAAGGAGGAGAGGGGAAAAGGGGGGGAGGGGAAAAGAAAAGATGAACCAAAGAAACAAATGACCACTATCTTTAAGTTATAATGCGCTCACGCAACTGAAAACACTCAGTTCTAAGTTGATAAAGAAGAATCAAAACAAGTAATTCACCAAAGAGAAAATGTCACCGATTAACAAGTATATGGTGAGATAACCAATACTACTAATAAGAAATCGCACAAGTACATTTAAACCATTTTCTAGCATTTTTTCAACCACCTTAGCTGATCATTTATAAGAGAATAAATCTCTTCTTTGTTGACAAATATACTAAGAAAAGCATGCTCTCGCATATCTCTGGTGGCAAGGTAAATTGAGCCTGCCCTTTTGGGAGACAGTCTGATAAAATGTATCAAGAAACTTGCACTGGACAGATCGTGAAGTCTCCTAGTACTTGATAGATACACAGTTTCCTTTGAGAAAAATAATGACATGCATAATGGAACCAGAACATCTCATATCAGATGGTGAGTATTTGATGAAATGAGATTTTTCCTGCTTTGGGCTGATGCAGGTTGGGATGAAGAGGAGAGTGGGAGAATCACTAGCAGCAACAAGATGGAAAGAGATACTAAAATAGCAGAGATTCGAGGCAAAAATGCTGCAGCATCCTTTTTAAAAAATGTAAAAAAATTTTTTTCAATTACAATTCACATTCATTCAATATTACATTAGTTTCAGACGTACAGCACAGTGGTTAGACCCATATAATTTACAAAATTCCAGCAGCCTTTTAATAAACTCTCATTATTTGAGGTTATGTATATATTTTTATGACTCCACAACTTGAAAGAAATTGACCCCCACACCAGTCGAAGCAGCAAGTGATGAGAAATAGACTCTTAGTGTATGTATACGGAGATAGTTCTGCCCTGATCCAGGCAAGTGAATCCCTGGTCTGGGTCTCAAGGTGCCCCACACTTTGGACTACCTTCTTTGAAATTTTCTAAGTCACAACTCACTGTGTAGGAATGGCCAGGATTGGCAGTGCTATTTGGATAGGGTGCCCTGAGCCTGGACCAGAACCCAATGGGTCCTGGCCCCTGTTTTACCTCTTGAGAGTGCTCTTTGATCTTCTAGCCCATGTGTGGGGTTCACCAGATGCCCCAGTAGCTCCACAGCTCTTGTCTATTGGGCTTCTTGGGTCTCCATGGTGGGATCACAGTCCCAAAAGGGTAGCTTGGCAATCGGATAGCTTCTGCTGTTTGGGACATATTTCTTTCGTAGAATCACATATTGGACAACAATCAGAATGGTGCTAATGTGCTGATTTGGGCTCAGAATGAAGACTCTTCATGTGCATTCACTGGACAATAAGCAACTACTCCAGTACTTCTCAACTCATTTAAAATCTTCACAGAAAGATCACTATATCTTACACGTGCCCATGAACTTCATAAAATATTTTAAATCAATGTGTTGAAACAAGATAGGGCTCTGCAAAAAATATTTACCCAGAGTCTCACACATTCGAAGCATGTTCCTGTGCAGATACAATGTGGGGAGACAAAAATACATTTGCCTAATAATTTGCCTTTACCACTGCTTTGCGGTGGTAAAATGCTTGCCATTTCTGACTCCTGTGATTCAGATTATGCAGTTACTGAAGAGCTCTGAGCAATTCCAAGGGATGGCTCCATGAAGGAAGAACAGATCTCTGATCTCTCTAATGGTCTAAGACAAATAGAGAGCAGTTGGGTAGGTACACTAGCATCCATGCTGGCTCTCGTAAGGTATGTTGTGGAACGCATAGATTCTTGTTGCAAAGTGCCTGACCAGGAGGAGCTAAAACTCCAGGGCTAGTACATGTCACTGGAGCCAGAAGTCTTTGCTGCTCGTAGCCTTCACTTTGAGACTACTGAAAACCAGCTGCAGAAATGGGTATATTTATAAATTGTGGGTTATCTAGACTCTAGAGACTCCATGATTAAAGAAGGTCTTTACTGAAAAAATCAGACTTTATAGGTAAGCCCCAGCTTAACTAAAAGCAGACAGAGAGATGGCTGAAACATAATTATATTATTGGTTGCAATGAGGACAGGAGGGACTGAGGTTGGCAGCGAGCAAGTCACAGAAGCTAAAAAGTCAAATGGTCATGAGAATCCTGGAGTAAAGTTATTTAGGGTATTATGGGAGTAGCCTAAGATGCTTGTTCAAAGACGAAGGACAAATTGAGAAATAATATTGACAAAATACATGACAAAGAGTTAACAATCTTTATTTACATAAAGAACTCGTATGATCAATAGGAAAAATCATTACAAAAGAGAAATTGGGAAATTCACTGGTGAAAAAGGACATAAAATATC